GTATTCTGTATTTATGTGTATATCTACTTTAACCAGAAATCTTGCATCTGCTTTCATGATTCTATCTACCAGTCTTTCACTTCAACTTAAAGGATTCCCTTTAGTATTTGTTTTAGGGTGGATCTAGTGGCAATGAATTCTCTCAGCTTTTGTTTATCTGGGAAATTCTTAATTTCTTCACTTTTTTTTTTTTTTTTTTAAACAGAGTCTCCCTCTGTCACCCAGGCTGGAGTGTAGTGGTGTCATCTTGGCTCTCTGCAACCTCTGCCTCCCAGGCTGGAGAGATTCTTGTGCCTCATCCTCCCAAGTAGCTGAGATTACAGGCGTGTGCCAACACACCTGGCTAATTTTTTCATTTTTAGTAGAGATGAGGTTTTACCATATTGGCCAGGCTGGTCTTCAACCCCTGGCCTCAAGTGATTCACCTGCCTCAGCTTCTTAAAGTGCTGAGATTACAGATGTGAGTCACGGCACCCAGCCTCTTCTTCACTTTTGAATGATAGCTTTCCCAGATACAATTTTCTTAGTTGGCTGTTTTTATTTTTTTCAGTATTTTGAATGTATCATAACAATCCCTTCTGTCCTGCAAGGTTTCACTGAGAAATCTGCTGACAGTTATGGGAGCTTGGTTGTACATGAGAGCACTTTTCTCTTGCTGCTTTTAACATTCTTTCTCTGTGGCTTTTGACAGTTTGATTAAATGCATGTTAGTATGAGTCTCTTTGGATTTGTTCTGGTTGTAATTGATCTTCTTGAACTTCTATGTCCATTTCTCTCATGAAATTTGGGAAGTTTTTGGTGATGATTTCTTCAAATAGATTTTCTTCCCCCTTTTTTCTTTATTCTCCTCCTATGACTCCCACAACACCTATATTGGTCCACTTCATGGTTTCCACAAGTTATTAGGCCCTCTCCACTTTTCTTCATTCGCTTTTCTTTTTGCTCCTATGACTTGAAAATTTCAAATGACTTGTCCTCAAGTTCACCAATTGTTTCTTCTGCTTGATCAAGTCTTCTGCCGAACCTCTCTAGTGAAATTTTCAGTTCGTTTATTGGATTCTTCAGTTCCAGTATATATTTTTTTAAAATTCAATAGATCCTATCTGTTGATATTCTCATTTTGTTTGTGCATCATTTTCCAGATTTTGTTTAGTACTGCGTCTGTGTTGTCTTTTAACTCATTGAGATTTTTAAGATCATAACTTTGAAGTCTTTGTCAGGTTATTCATAAATCAATTTATTTTGTTCCTTTAATTTAGCCTTGTTTTTTTGTTTCATTGTATGTCTTGAGATCTTTTGTTTACATTTGGGCATTAAAAAAACACCTATTCTAGTGTTCATTGTCTGGCTTCATACAGACCTTCACCAATTAGCTGGGCATAGATTCTAGGAGTCTCTCAAACTTTTTCTGGTGATGCATCTTCTCTGGACCTGTGTGTTTACTTTTCCAGATAAAGTAATTTACACGGGTTTCATTTTTAGGAGCTCGTATTCCCTTGTTTTACCTAGTGTCTATATGCAGTACCAGTCTCTCTAGTAATAAGCTGCCATGCTTGCTTCTGTTCTCAGCATCCACCAAGTCTCCCAGATATGTTGTGTTTCCCATTAGCAGTCTGAATTAGGTGTAACAGAAACCATTCCCTAAGGCAGTCCCCTGGAAAGCCAGAAAGTTGATGCAGGTTTCATTCTTCTCTTTCCCTCCCAAGAGAGATGCTTAGAGATGGGAGGTTTTTCTCTATTGCTTTGTGTGCCAGTATGAGGAAGGACTGTGGCAAGTAAATGCAGCAAACTTTCTTACCTGTTTCAATGCCAGTTTTCTCAGCTTTGGTCTTACCAGTGGGGCTGCAATCTTTTAACTATTTTTCTGAAGTTCACAAAGGCAATTTGATTCATATATTGTTAAGTCAGTGTCTTCATGGGGGAACTAGGGCGTGGGGCTTTCTATTCTGCCGTCTTACTGATATCAGTGGAGCATGTACTTTAAAAAAAACTTCAACTTCTAGCTTAGATTTAGGAAGTACATGTTTGTGTTTGTTATATGGGTATATTGCACAATGCTGAGGTTTGGGGTACAAGTGATCCTGTTACCCAGGTACTAACCAATAGTTAGTATTTCAACCATCGCCCCACTCCATTCCTCCTCCCTTCCTCCTCTACTAGTCCCCAGTGTCTATTTTTGCTATGTTTATATCCATGAGTACTCAATGTTTAGCTCCTACTTCTTATAAGTGAAAACATGTGGTATTTGGTTTTCTGTTCCTGTGTTAATTCACTTAGGATAATGGCCTCCAGCTGCATTGATGTTGCTGCAGAGGGCATGATTTAAATCATTTTAATGACTGTATAGTATTCCATGGTGTATATGTATTATATTTTCTTTATCCAGTTCACCATTGATGGGCACCTAGGTCGATTCCATGTTTTTACTATTGGAAATACTATTGCAATGAACATATGAGTACATACTTTTTTTGGTGAGATGATTTATTTTCTGCTGGATATATACACAGTTATGGGATTTCTGGGTTGAATGGTACTTCTGTTTTATGTTTTTTGAGAAATCCTCAAATTGCTTTCCATGGAGGCTGAACTAATTTACATTCCCACCAGCATTGTATATAAGTGTTCTCTTTTCTCTACAGCCTCTCCAGCATCTGCTGTTTTTGACTTTTAAGTAATAGCCATTCTGACTGCTGTGAAATGGTATCTCGTTGTGCTTTTTGTTTGCATTTCTCTCATTATTAGAGATGTGCGTTTTTCCAGATGTTTGTTGGCTGCTTATATGTCTTCTTTTGAGAAGTGTCTGTTTATGTCTTTTGCCCATTTTTTAATGGTGTTGTTTATTTCTTGTTTGTTCAGTTATTTAAGTTCCTCATAGATTCTGGATATTAGACCTTTGTTGGATGTGTAATTTGTGAATATTTCTCATATTTTGTGGGTTGTCTGTTTGCTCCATTGATAGTTTCTTTTACTAAGAAGCACTTTAGTTTAATTAGGTCCCACTTGAGAATTTTTGTTTTCATTGCAATTGCTTTTGAGGATTTAGTCATAAATTCTTTCCCAAGGCTGATGTCCAGGATGGTGGTTCCTAGAGTTTGTTCTTGGATTCTTATATTTGAGGTCATATACTTAAACTTTTAATTCATTTTGAGTTAATTTTTGTCTATGGTGAAAGGTAGGGGGTTCAGATTTATTCTTCTGCATATGATTACCCAGCTATCCAGCACCATTTATTGAATAGGGAGTCCTTTCTCTATTGCTTTCTATTGTCAACTTTGTCAAAGATCAGATGGCTACAGGTGTTTGGCTTGATTTCTAGGTTCTCTATTTTGTCCCATTGGTCTATGTGTCTATATTTGTAGCAGTACTCTAATGTTTTGGTTACTGTAGCCTTATAGTATAGTTTAAAGTTGGGTAATGTGATGTGTCTGGCTTTGTTCTTTGGAGCTGGTATTTTTAAAAATACAAATTAATACCAGGAAAACTTTCCTAACATTTTTGACTGAGAAGCACTATTCCCCACCCTGGAATATTAGGTTATGTCAGGAAGCCTCAGGGCAATACACAACAAATACTCATTAAGCCTTCAGGTTCAATTCAAAATTAATTTCCATTTGCCTCGATAAAATTACTTATAGGAAAACAATCTGGACATAGCTAAAGGTATTTTAGAAGCTCAATTGAAAAGATGAGAATAATTATTTTTTATGAAATAAATAAATCAACTATAGTTAAAACCTAGTGAGCTCTCTATTATGTTTAACTTTTCCAAGTAATTTGCTACTCACTTTCTTTTTTTTTTAATTATACTTTAAGTTCTAGGGTACATGTGCACAACATGCAGGTTTGTTACATAGGTATACACATGCCATGTTGGTTTGCTGCACCCATTAACTCGTCATCTATATTAGGTATTTCTCCTAATGCTATCCCTCCCCCAGCCCCCAACCCCACAACAGGCCCCAGTGTGTGATGTACCCCACCCTGTGTCCAAGTGTTCTCATTGTTCAATTCCCACCTATGAGTGAGAACATGTGGTGTTTGATTTTCTGCCCTTGTGATAGTTTGCTGAGAATGATGGTTAGTAATTTGCTACTTTCCAGGGAAAAAGTACTCAGGAGAGTAGAGAAACAAATTTGTATTTTAAGAACCCCAATGCAATTTCACTGAAAAACAATAGGAAATTAATATGGAACACATCTTAGCAGTCAATGTGCTCCAGAAAAACTTTCTCTCTCTCTATATATATACACACATATGTGTATATGAAGAGATTTTTATGAAAAAATTGGCTCACATGATTATGTAGGCTAAGAAGTCCTTCAGTCTGCCATCTGGAAGTAGGAGACCCAGAAAAGCCGGTGGTGTAGGTCCAGTTTGAGTTCAAAGGCCTGAAATCCAGGGGAACCAATGGTGTAAATCTAGTCCAAGGATAGTAAAAGATCGATGTCTCAGGTCAAGCAGCAGGCAGCCAGGAAGAAACAAAAAAATGGATGAATTCCTCCTTCCTCTGCCTTTTTTTTCTATTCAGGCCCTCAACAGATTGGCTGATGCATACCCACACTGGGGTGGGGGCAATCTACTACTGAGCTTACCAATTCAAATGCTAGTCTCATCTGAAAACACCCTTACTCTCATCTGGCCACTCCTTGGCCCAGTCAGGTTGACACATAGAATTAGCCATTACACCATCTGAACATATAAAATAAAAAAAAGATTGAAAACACAAAAATAAATTTATGTATATTTAAAGACCATTCTGTTTCTTGGTAAAGAAAAGAATGAAATTCTGAGACAGGAATTCCTGTATTAGGACTGTTTCTTCCCTGTAATGATGTTAGTACTTTTGGCCTGTACTCCTGGTCAGTAGACCATCATGTGACAGATCCTTGCACCTTGTGTTTTCTTCTATAGAATAGCTCTGAAGGCTATAAGGAAACTTTACTTTGTTCAATCTGGAAATACCAAAGTCTGACTCCTTTTTTTTTTCCTTCATGCAGAATTTCATTGTCCAGCAGCTGAATGAGTCATTTTCTTATTTTCTGGGGCTTTCAGACCCACAAGGTAATAATAATTGGCAATGGATTGATAAGACACCTTTCAAGAAAAATGTCAGGTGAGTGCAGATCTGGGGCCTTGTTTACATAGAAAATCTAGGGAAATTTTGTTAGGAGTGACTAATAATGTTAATATTGATAATTATGATAATAGGATCTAACAATTATTAAGTGTTACTAAGGATATGCATTATCTCACTTAAACTTCATGAAAACATCTCTTTTTCTGAACTAATTTTACGGATGAAAAATTAAATAAATTGCCCCAAATCAATAAACTAATAAGATGAGAAACTGGATGTCAACTCCTTGTTTATCTGACTCTAGAGATGGTGCTCTAAACTATAATATTTTGCTGTTTCTAAACACAAGTAGACACTTAAACTGATCTCTAATTAATAAAACTTAAAATACCTGGGTCAGAACTATGTACAATTTTAGTAGAAAAATTACATAATAATACTATTTACTTGTGGCTTTAAAAAAGAATTCAGTTATACATTATCTTATTTGATTTTTTCACAATCTCGTGGGTTAGTTAGGGACCTTATTATAATTCCTATTTTTAAAGATGAGGAATCTAATACTTGAGGAGATTGAATTACTTGCCCAAGATCAAAATGAGTGAGTATCAAAAACAGGTCTTGTAATTCCAAAATTTATGTCCAACCTCCCACTCTTTACCCATAATGTATTCCCTGGAGGCAGGGTAACTTTTACATCCAGACTCAGGCATCCTAACATTCACTTAAGGCAGATCCATGAGAATAAAGAAGCTTAGGAAGATGATAAGAATATACAGATGTAAGGAGATAGCCTCTTTATTTCATGTCAGTAAGAAATTATTTAATAACCCCAGCCAGGATAAAGGCTCTGTAAAGAGGAAGATGATTGCAGCGGAAAGATCTAAGAATAAACCATCTCATAAAATTTTGCCAGGAGAATGTTAAAGGAGCAAGTGTAAAAGTATGTGTCCATACTTAAGGATCTGAGGAGGGCAGTATGGGAAGGAGGAACAATCATTGGAATGTTCTCTCTTCCTAAATCCCACTCTGTTCACTCCAAAGGTTTATACTTTCTAATCATTCACCATGCATTCATTGAAGATGTCTACCTCCCTTTTTTTTTTTGTTTAGATTTTGGCACCCAAATGAGCCCAGTCATTCAGCAGAAAAATGTGCTTCAATAGTCTTCTGGAAACCTATAGGATGGGGCTGGAATGATGTTATCTGTGAAACTAGCAGGAATTCAATATGTGAGATGAATAAGATTTACCTATGAGTAGAACTTTTTTCAGTGATGTCTTTAAAATTGAAACCTATTCTGAAATGATAATTTCTTTCTGTAATTTACACATAACCCTTATGTTATAGAGGTTCATAGAAATGGAAAGATACCTGTTTCCCTTTAATCAATCTTCTAGTTTCCTCCTTTCCACTAATGATAGAATGCACCTTTCCTCTCTTTGTTCCATTCTTTCACTTGTTATTCATTTTCTTCTTTCTTCACACTTCATTACACAAACATTTATTGTTTCAGAGACTGTACTATTTTGTTTGTTGGAAGATTTATAAGGAAGCATCTTTTGCAAATTATGACTTTTCTTCCTCAATATACCATAAAGAAATCTTTTTGGTCAAGATGGTAGTTGGAAGTACAATCATCTGAAGGCCTGACAAGAGTTGAAAGACCTGTTTTCTAGATGGTTCACTCTCATGGCTGGGAACTTGGTGTTGGCTATTGCTAGGAGGCCTCAGTTTCTGACCATGTGGAACTATCCATAGGGCTAACTGAATCTCCTTACAATATGGTGGCCAGCTGCTATTGGAACAAGTAATCCAAAAGAACAAGTAAAAGTAGTAATGTCTTTAATGAACTACACTCAGCAGTTATGCACCATAACTTCTGCTCTACCCCATTGGTCACATAAAACAGATCTGATATAATAAGGAAGGAGAATACCCAAAGGCATGAATAACAGAATGTGATAATCACCAAAAGCCATCTTGGAGGCTATCACAGCAAAATTTATTTTAAAAGATACGAAAAAAAAGTGTAATGAAAAATAAATTAATTTAAAAATCTCCTACACTAAAATTATGGACTTCTGTTCATTAAAACACCATAAAGAAAATTAAAATAAAAATGACTGGAGGAAGATATTTTAAACACTTATAACTGACACAGTATTAATGCCAAGCATATATGAATATCTATCACAAATTAATTAGAACACAAAAAAATGAGCAAAATATTTGAACAAGCACTTGATGAGGAAATGCATACAAAACATGCTTTTATAGAGATGCTCAGCTTCATTCACAAAGTAATAACTGTAAGTCAAGAAAATAAGACATCATTTTATTCCAATTTTAATGATGAAATTAAAAAACAGAATTCCAAAAGTGGGAGGAAATATAGATCAATAAGATCCCATATACGTTACTGATTTGTGTTTAACTTTGTAGAACTGCTTTGGAAAGTACATAAATATACATTTTCCTTACATAAATACTACTCAAAAAATGCTGTATTGAGAGATATTCAAGGTCTATGACATTTGGGTGTTAAAATGAAGAGGTGTTCTAAAATTCTAGTTTTTGTATTGGGCAGTGAAGTTAACATAAATATCAAACAAAACAAAACAAAATGAAACAAAAGTGTAAAGAGGATAGCATAGGATGAATCTAAAATTATGTTCAGGTCGGGCATGGTGGCTCATGCCCATAATCCTAGCACTTTGGGAGGCCAAAGGGGGCAGATCACCTGAGGTCAGGGGTTTGGGACCAGCCTGGCCAACGTGGCAAAACTCTGTCTCTACTCAAAGTACAAAAATTAGCCAGGCATGGTGGTGCGTGCCTGTAATCCCAGCTGCTTGGGAGGCTGAGGCAGGAGAATTACTTGAACCGGGAGGCGGAGATCGCAGTGAGCCGAGACTGTGCCATTGCACTTTAGCCTGGGAGACAAGAGCAAAACTCCATCTAAAAAAAAATTATGATTAATATGCTATTGTGCAAAGTGCAAATTTGAAAAATAATTGGAATATAAAATCCACTGGAGGCTAGATTAATGGAAGTTTGGGGTTCTTGACTGATACCTTTGTGTTGAAGATCACACTGAAATTGTTGTGCTCCTGGGATCCAAAAGGTGTCTTTGTCTTCATGCCACCATCACCATAATGAAGCCGGTGACTAGACACTGGATACTCCATCTAGCCATAACAAGTACATCTGGAAAATCACAATCTGTGATCTTGTTCATCAGCAGAAACACCAGCAAGAAATTAGCCCCTGCTTTGTTTTTATTTCCCACATCTCATGCTATTGAATTTAATAGGTTCCACATTTACATCAATAACATAATTGAAAGAAAGTCTAAAAAATGTTGTTCATAGCTTTCCAGACTTTGAAGCACTGGCAGGCACAACAAAGGAGGTGGGAATGGGTGTGAGTGCTGATTGACTAGATCCGGTATGGTTGTGCTACAGCATTATTTAAATACATGGTTATATTTGGCCTTAACATCACTATCCTTAAGTGAGATGGCCCATATTTTTCCTTTTGGTGCTATCCTTGTTTGGAATCACTTTATGCTAGCTTCATAGAATGAGTCAGAGTGTTTTTCATCTTCTATTCTCTGAACAATGTGGTTAAATTTGTCTGTAATGTAAGTGTATATTTCTTAGAAGTAGTTAAATTTATCTGTAAAATTCTCTGGACTTGCTCCCTATTTAAGACTACTTGTTTGACCATATTTTTCTTTTCTTCTATGATTTTGAGACTTAGGATTTCTAACTCTTCTTAGTTAATATAGTATTTTTTAGACAATCATATATTTCATATTAATTTTTAATTTGTCGATTTAATCTGTGAATAGTGTATGTATATAACTTTAATCTACCCTTGCATCTGAAGAATGTGTAGCATTTTTACTTTTAATTAATTTTGCATGTATCTTTTTTAACTTGATCAAGCTTGTCAAAGTTACATTAAATGTACTTTAAAAAAGAGACCCAGCTTTTCTGATTATATGTACTTTTTTCTGTTTAATTGCTGTTTTTGTTATTAATTGATTCTTCTTTCTTTGGATTTATTTTAATTTTATCTAGCTTCTTAAACTAAATTAATATAAAGGAATTCATTGATCTTCAGTCTTTTTTCACAAATAAAACATTAAAGGCTACATTTTTACTTTGGGTATTATTTTAACCCAACAGCTTTTGAAATTTAATGATCTCATTATTTCTCATTTTTACATAGTGATAATTGTGGGAACAACTTTTTCTTAGTCTAGGAGTTATTCAGTACAGTGTTTTAAAATTTTTATGAGAATAGATCAGTTTTTGGCTTCTATATTGAAAATTTCTTACTACATTTTGTTTAAAGAATGCAGCATATGCATTCTATAATACTTTTAAGAGTTTATTATATTTTCTTTGTGGCCTTGAATTAATCCAGACAAGAAAAGCTAAACTGTGTTAGCAAATCGGTGAGGATAACTGCTTACGCTTATTTAGGACTGCTTTCATTCGGGTTTATTATGTAACAGGAAAACAAAAAATGCAATGAACAAGCCTCCTCCTCAGTGGAGAGTATTCACATGGATTAACAAGTATCCTTCATACTCTGAGTCTATTCTGAGAGGCGTAACCTCATACCTCCTTCCCAAACCTCCTTGATATTAATTCTGCAACCTTATTCTTTCAAAGCCCCTGAGTACCCAGCCAAACCATCAGGCACTAACTGTGAATTGATACAGAACCTTATCTCAAGCCATCGTTCCTTCTAGGCAAAATGAACCATAAGATGTACAGTTTGAAGTTACTCCCAGTGAGAAGGTTTCCATTTTTCACAGACTTTCTGAGCTAGTTCTGAGTAGAGCTATAACTTCCAGCAGTCTACCTCTAGTAAGTGCCAAATAATGAGCATAACCATCTGAAAACAAAACTTTCTTTCCTTCTGAGATAACTAGTCATAGAGAACTCCCTAGGAGGTCACAGGGGAGGATTTAGGGAGAAATAACATTATGGCAGGATAAGCATACAGAGATTGTGAATCACTGTGTTTTGAAACCAATTTATGTCTAATCCTATTTAAAATGCTCCAATATTTCCCATGATATATCAGCTAACACAGTTGATGAAGGTCTTTATAAGTGGTGATATGGTTTGGCTCTGTGTCCCCACCCAAATCTTATCTTGAACTGTAATCCCCATGTGTCAGAGGAGGGGCCTCAAGGGAAGTGATTGATTCATGGGGGCAGACCTCCCCCTTTCTTTTCTTATGATAAAGTTCTCACAAGATCTGGTTGTTTGATAAGTGTGTAGCTCTTCTTCCTTCTCTTGCTCTCTCCTGCCATCATGGAAAGATGTATTTGCTCTCCCTTTGCATTCCACCATGATTGTAAGCTTCTCAAGGCCTCCCAGTCATGCTTCCTTCAGTCTGCAGAACTGTGAGTTGAACCACCTTTCTTCATAAATTACCCATTCTCAGGTAGTTCTTTATAGCAGTGTAAAAATGGACTACTACAGAAAATTGATACCAGGAGAGTGGAGCACTGCTATAAAGATACCCCACATGAAATTCCACATGAAAATGTGGAAGTGACTTTGAAACTGGGTAATGGGCAGAGGTTGGAACAGTTTGGAGGGCTCAGAAGAAGACAGGAAGATGTGGGAAAGTTCGGAACTTCTAAGAGACTTGTCAAATGGTTTTGACCAAAGTGCTGATAGTGATATGGGCAATAAAGTCCAGGCTGAGGTGCTCTCAGATGGAGATGAGGAACTTGTTGGGTACTGGAGTAAAGGTCATTCTTGCTATGCTTTAGCAAAGAGACTGGTGGCATTTTGTTTCTGCCCTAGAGATATATGGAACTCTGAACTAGAGAGAGATGATTTAAGGTATCTGGCAGAAGATATTTCTAAACAGCAAAGCATTTAATATGTGACCTGGCTGTTTCTAAAACTGTAGGCTCATATGTGTGAACAGAGATTATCTGAAACTGCAACTTATCTTTAAGAGGAAAGCAGAGCACAAAAGCTTGGAAACTCTATAGCCCAGCCATGTAGAAGAAAAGAAAGACCCATTTTCTGGAGAGAAAGTCAAGCCTGCTGCAGAAATTTGCATAAGTAAAGAGGAACTGGAGCCAAATGCTAATGAGGAAAATGTCTTCAGGTCATTTCAGAAATTTTCTCAGTAGCCCCTCCCATCACAGACTTGGAGTCCTAGGAGGGAAAAGTGGTTTCACAGGCTGGGTCCAGGGCTCTGCTGCTCTGTGCAGCC